CCCAATTGCACCGGTAACAATCGCTCGCTATCTTTTTTATTAAAACTAACGAGAGGCATCGTCAATGTTTTCCGTTTCTCTCTCTCCCTCTCCCTCTTTTTTTCTTCCTTCTTTTCCTTCTCGTTCCCTTTGAATAATCGCGTGCGACGTTCGTTACGTCGCGATTCCGCCCGTTTGAACGACGGAAGAATGATTATGTACCGTTTTTGCGTGATAATTAATCGATACCATGAGACACGAATCAGGAAATGGCAATTTCGACGATAGCTGACTCACATACGATTTGTCGTGCGCGTTGCGTTCAAGGCGGAGAGTCGAGCGTCGAAAGTAAGGCTTCGAACTGTTGCCTGAAATTCAATAACGTGACACAGAAATAATCTCCTTCCCGATTAGATGAGATCGACGGCGAACGAGGCGCGAACCGGAAAGTGAATTAAATAAATAAGTCCCAGCCAGATGATAAATTCTCAGAAACGTTATGCATCCCGGGATCTGCGCCGGCTGAATTTTGCTGAATCAAGCGCAATTACCGATTCCGTCGTCGCCTCGTCTAAACCTGCAGTTCCTCCCCCTGCATTACCCTCACCTTTCACGGCGATGTCAGTTCCTACCATGGAATCGCTCAATCGGCCCATTTACCTCCGCCGTTCGCGCAATGTTTGCGCGCAGCCATGGCACCAGCAAAGTGGCCCTATCAATATTAATCGCGATATTTGCCTGGCATGCTCTTCGTCGCACTCTCTATTACCAATTAATCTGGTCGTGCGAAGTATGCTGCGAACGAGCAGATAGACCGTAGCGCGCGAGTCCGAGCGAGAGGACGAGAACGAGCGAGGGGAAGGCAGGGAGAGAGTAAGACTGACCAGGGGACAAATAAAAATGACAGATGAAGAAAGACGGACAGCGAGGAGGAGAAAGAAGAACGTGAAAGACAGCAGGGCGAGGGAAGGGAAAAAAAGAGGGGGCAGAGGAAAAGAGAGAGAGAGAGAGAGAGACGACTCGTTGACGGGTTAGATATTGTGTCAGCCGAGTCGTCCAGCATTAAAAGTAATTACGACGTGATTGACCGAGGGCCCGTTGGCCGAGGGTGAGGTGACGCCAAGGGGGAGGCTAAATCATCGGAGTGACGCACGTAGCTCGTTGTTGCCTCCCAATTATACAATCAGCGAGACCAAGCGGAGAAGGACGGGAGAGGGGAGGGGGGGCCCGAGAAGGAAAGACCGAAAGATAGACGAAGAGTGGGAAGGCCAGCTCGTGCAAGAGAAGAAAGAAGCAAAGAATACATACTTGGATGTTGTATCTCGTGACGGGCGAAAGACGAGAAGAGACGGTGGCGGAATTACGTCAGGAACGTAGTGGGCAGTCATGACCGTTCGAGTCGACGAATATCGGTGCCATCGCGACGATAATTGCCAACCGGAATCACTGGCACGACACGAAGATGAATCCGGGCTCTCGAACGTCTCGAGATTTTTCACGGCCACGTCGCACCGAGGCAACGCGTTAACGAACGTGTTATGTCGTTCGGTGGTTTCAGATTCGAGGGAAGGTGCTTGAATCCGCCCCTGTGGAACGCGAGGAAACAAGAAGAACACGGACGGAGCGAGACGGGGGCCGATCGTGATCGTTATTGTCTATTATAAAGTAAGTTGGCCTGTGATGCAGCTGCCGTTTTGCACGACGATGACGACGGTGGTTTATAAGTCGTGATCTAGAAACAAATGAGCCATTGTGGAGGACAATCGTTCCGTTAAGAACGGGAGAAGGGCCAAATAGGCGTGAAGAATCGAACGGCCGAGCTGGCAAGAAGAAGTAATCGATTTCGAGATGGTTTTCGTCGTATTGCAACGACGTCGCAACCATTGAAAAAGGAGAACACATTTTGCGCTCGAACACCTCGCTGAGTCGACGTGCACGCTTTGTTTAAACGTTTCCCCTGATTTAATTTTATTCTTAAATTAAATTTAATTTATAATGAACGTGCTAGATACGAATTGCGATCGAGACACGAAGAAGGATAGGATAGCAAAACGGAATTACATGATATTACACCTGTATTCAATCTCGTTGAGTATTTAACAGACACACAGTACGGAAAGAAAGGGTGAAACAACGATGTTTTGGTTCTTTCAGCGGCATTGTTTCGCCGATGGCGGTGCGTACCCTTCATTTCAAGTACTGGATGGTCGAATATTTCACGCAGTAAAGTACACGCCAATCGAGAGACAAAGGGCTGCACGAGTTGGCAAGGGTGACTCGGTATGACGATCGTACAATACTTTCTACGAAGCCTTTTCTCCGAAGCTATGGCCATTAATGGCGCCCTCTTCCTCTTTCTGTCGATCGCTCGTCCCGTTATTTTACCGTTCGACTCAACTTTAGAGGCTTTTAAAGGTCGTACTTGAAGACACTTCGTCTTCGTGATAAATAATCTCTCGCGCCAGCACAATTAACGGATTCGCTGTCACACGGCGACGAGTCCTCAGAAAAAGGTAATTAGTCAGAAAAC